ATTAACTATGGATTTCTTATTTGTTAGGATGCCGAAAACAAGATGCATATATTTTTTGGCATCCTAACAAATAAGAAACCCATAGTTAATGAGATTTGACTAGGAGTAGTATTTGGATGGGTGACCTTCTGTGAAGTTTTTCGAAAAGTGTGTGAGTAAGGACAAAGCATGCTGAAAAGACCTGTGTTGGTTTGTGGGGTCGGTCAGTAATCCTGAAAGCATTCTGGGGTGTTACATGGCGCATATGTGTCACTGAGGTGGATCACACGATATCTTAAAAATGAAAATGGAGTGTTTATTTTAGAAAACACATTCAAAGCAATTGACGAAGGAACCCTAGCAGAGAAATTGACGAAGGAATCAGCTGCGATTTGCGAAAGGAGGAGAGTAGACAGAGTTGAATCCTTGTTTGAAGGTGAAAATGAAGACACCATTGTTGATTACAGGTTTGTTTCATGAAATTTTTCTGCAATTCTAAAATGTTGTAGTTTTAGGGTTTAACTTTAGGTGTTTTTGGTTTCTACAATCTTTTTGAAATCCATTTGTTTCTGCAATTCTATTTTTAGGGTATGTTTGAAAAGGACGAATATTTACATCTAAAAATCCATCACAATGTTGAATTTGTTGATGAATGAATGAGGAGAATTTGTTGATTTGAAGGTAGAGGTTGACATGTCGAGTTATTTTGAGTTGTTAGGTTTCTTCAAAGAGTTAGGTTGTAGTGCCATAGAGAAAATATATTAAAGGTATTCCACATTTGGGATGAATGTGTTGGTTGATGATAAATGTACCTTAGAGATTGTTGGTCTTTATAGGGTGCATCTAAGTATTGATATCTATATTCAACACACTTTGTCTCAGCCTGAGTATTATGATGGTCCCCTTGATGAGATAGAAGTAGATCACGATGAGATCGTACATGAGAAATGTTTCACATACAAGATGAATGATCTTGGACTAGTTGACACTATTTTAGGGATCAAAGTAAAGCAAAATAGTGGGGTTATGAACTTAGTCAAATACGTTATGTTGAGGAAGTACTTGACAAGTTCAAACATTTACATTTCAAAAAAGTGAGTACTCCATTTGATCCTAGTGTCAAACTTGAAAAGAATGATGGAAGAGTTGTGGCTCAATTGGAATATGCAAGTGCGTGCAATGTAATGGACCCGACATAGCATTTGCAATTAGTAAAATGAGTAGATTTTACTAGCAATCCGAATGGTGGGCATTGGAATGCCATCATTAGACTTTTCCGATATCTTATGAAAACCAAAAATCTTGGTCTCCATCATGGTATAAATTTCCTTCCATATTCGAAGGATATACCGATGCGAGTTGGACGTTAAGCGTTGAATATCATAAATTTGCATTTGGGTGGATATTTACACTAGTTAGAGGTGCAATTTCTTAAAAGAGAAAGAAACAAACATGGATCACTCTCTCAACAATAGAATCAGAGTTCAAGGCTCTTGCTTCCATTGGTGAAGAAGCTGAATGGTTGAGGGACCTTTTATTAGAAGTTCCATTGGCTAAAAACAATGTTTCAAAGGTGTTGAAACATTGCAACAGTCAAGCCATTTTATCTAGAGCATACAAAAAGTGTATAAAAGAAAGTCTAGGAAAGTAGGACTTAGACATTCTTTCGTGATAAAATTGATTAAAGATGTAATCATTTCATTCACATATATATGATCGAGCTACGATTTTCTTGATCCATTTACTAAACCACTGACTAGAGATTTAGTAAAGACTACCTCGAGAGATATGGGATTGAAACTCATTAAATAAGAGTTCCGACAACGGTAGCAATCCAGTCTGAAGTTAACAAACCTTAACCTAAGATTCAATGAGTAACAACAAGTCGTTGATTTGCATGTTTGTGCAACATTCTGTGACAATTTTAACTATTACATATTGATGGTTGATTTTTTTTCAAACTCTTAATGAAGTTCTATATCGAGGATATGCATCTCAAGAAATAAATACAAAATGAACTTCACCTATATGAATTTCGAGACAGTGTCGTCTCAAAGTGAGAGTTGGAGTTTCTCTCATGAAAAATTCACGAAAACAAAAAAAGTACATGGCCATAAATAATGTTATGCGTGAGATGTAGGCGAAGAACCATTAAAGAACGTGTGTAAGGTAACGACGATATAATCACAAGGGATAACGGTTCAAAGCATAGCTACCTAACATTCCAATTTACTAAGGATAAGTTCAAATCAAAAGATACTTAACTGTATTAACATTTTTTCCTCTCTTTTTCTGGAATTGATCTTGTCATTATTAGAACAAGTAGGGGATTGTTGTAAATTATTAATAATTAATAATCTTGAGTGTGTTCCAAAATGACAAGAAAGTATGCAAGTGATGGTTAACTTTTTAATTTAGAAATAGGCAACACTTGTGAAGTATTGTAGTAGACAGTTTGTATTTTGAATTCAGAAATAGGCAACACTTTGTGAAGTGTTACAGAATGTGAAACAACACAACCTTTGAAAACTGTTGTTGTAGGTGAAGTAGTGCAACAATTGGTAAAAAGTACTATTGTAGGCTAAACAATGTAACATTTGATAAAAGTGTTGTTGTAGGCAAAACAATGGAACATTTGGTAAAAGTGTTGTTGTGAGCGAAACAATGCAACATTTGGTTAAAGTGTTGTTGTGGACGAAACAATGCAACATTTGGTTAAAGTGTTGTTGAAAGTGTGTGTTTCATCAAGGGTCACAACCTTATGAAATAACACTAGTTTGACCTATAAACTGAGTTTTCGGATTCAGAAAAAAAGAACACAAAAGTTTATCCTCTTCACACACAATTCCAGATTTCATTTTTCCTACATTTGAGTTTTTATTGGTTTTGTGCAAACTCGAGCATATGCTGAATTATTCTGGATATTCCTACGTTCCAACTCTAAGATATTTGAGAGTGCTTAAAATACTTATAAAAAAAAGTGATTTCGTTTACGAACAAAGTTTAAATCCATTTAATTTACAATCAATTTTCTAAAAGACTATTATCCAAATTTGTACGTTTGTTTTTGATTTTGAAGAAAAGCAAAGCATACACTACTGCGGTTTTTGTCGAGCTTTTCAAAAAAAAATTATTATTTCAATTAAAAATATTCTTAGTTGTTTATTGAAAGTAACAATAAGCCAAATTAGGTTTTTAAAAAACTATTTATGGTCGAGAAGAGGATTTTTTCACCCAAATAACCAAGATTCTCCCTTATAATTTCCAATCTACCCAACTTTCCAATATATTATCCAATCTACCCTAGTTTTGTATTTTTTTTATTTTTTTTTACAAGGGAGCGCCATGGGGGTTGGAGCCTCCCTTATAATTTGTATGGGGGCGTCATGGGGGTTGGAGCCACCCTATAATTTGTAGGGTGGCTCCAACCCCCATGGCGCCCCCATACAAATTATAAGGGAGGCTCCAACCCCCATGGCGCCCCCTTGTAAAAAAAATTTAAAAAAATACAAAACTAGGGTAGATTGGATAATATATTGGAAAGTTGAGTAGATTGAAAATTATAAGGGAGAATCTTGGTTATTTGGGTGAAAAAATCCGAGAAGAGGGTTAGTAAAACTAGAAATAATGACATATGAATCTACTAAATTCTTCATAATAGTATTGGATTTAGCAAGTTAATAGTTGTATAAAGACATCATATATAACATGGTAAGGTTTGAACCTACTATATCCAACTTATTTACTTTTAAATGGTGTATTATATGCGTTATACTACTTGATCCAAAATAGAAATTAATGGTAGTTAGAAATACTCTTTAGGTCTAAAATAAGAGTCTATCTAGTTAAAAATATTTGTCCCAAAATAAGAATTTCTTTTAAGTTTTTAATGTAACATTAAATAATTTTTATTAATTTTATTCCTAATAAATACTGTATACACTTCTTTTAAACTATTATATCATACACTATATATTTTTGACAATTTTAATATTTAATAATTACGAATTGTAAAATTATCATATTTAATTAATTTATGTCTAACAGTTTTAAATTTTTTTTATTTTGAGATGGGGTGAGTAGTACACAAAAACACTTTGACATTTTTTTTTTTGTTCCATGATTACGCTGACACTAACTTGAATGATTAATTTTATGGAAGTATGAACTAAAAAAGTAATGCACATATAAATGACAAACAAAAACGCTGTGAAATAGGAAGAGAAAAACAAGTTGAACATGGGAGAGACTCATACACTACACGCAAAAAATTAATCTTATAAGACTACAGATTTTATAAATCACATTGAGAGTGATGGAAGAACTTCTTCCAATTCTTTTTTATTGCGTATTTGCAACCAAAAAGATTTTGTATTAGTTGTTATTTTCATAATTTTATATAACAATTAATTATTAGTTTATCTATAAAATTTCTAATTATTTATATAAAAAGAGAAATAAATCGTTAAAAATAATAAAATTTATTGGATGTGTATGTAGCAAGTCTTATTGAAATACATGCACAAGTATTTGGTATAAATAGGTGTGTTTGAAAATACTTCCGGATTCGGAGAGACATTTTTGGATTTCCACTTCTGCACCACTGGGAAAAGCAATTCCGATTCAAATATACTTGTTAGTAGCAATAGCTTACATCTATTTAACATTGGATCAAATCCATTTCATCAAGTCCAACAAGATTTTATACCATATTTACAAATATATATACAAAAATAACCATGGACCACATCAGTTATGACTCTTGACTCTAGCAAAATAGAGTTCAACTTTTGCTGCCAAGCTAAAGCTTCAGAAATAACTCACCTAATAACACACCTCTTCAGTGAGAATGAAACAAAGCCATTAAAGCCAACAGAATAAAAGGGAGAACTGTATGATAAAACCCTCGACACTACGGTACATTTAAAAGAATAAAAAAATTAGTAATGAAAGTAAACCTGCAGACCTCAATAACTGAAAGAGAAAGTAAAGGGCAACAAAATAACCGAAGTTGTTTATCTTCATGATTTTCCCCTACCGTTAGGTCCTTCACGCTGACTACGAAAATGACTGAGAAGTTGTTGTGCCTGCATGTATGTGAACAACATGTTAGTATTTGTTTTACATTTCAGATTGTGTTTAGTACCAGAGATACTGTATGTCATGACCACCAATGTTTCAGCACTCTTTATGTCTGATAGTGATACTTCTTCCATTTTGGTGTATCCGGACTTCATAGTCCTCACCCCAAAGCAACCTTCTGCCTAAAAAATAACCGGCCCCTCTTCTTCTATTGCGTTCCATTAACATAATTCCAAACAAGGCTAGGGTTGGTCCATTTGTAACAGGCTACGCCTTAAACAAGTGTGCCTAATAGGAGACCTACTGATAGAATCCCCATCTTCTTTCTTGGTGGGTATCAAATCAAAGGGAAAATTTATCAAGAAAACCCAAACTAGATAGTCAGAACTCATAGTTTCCTTCATTTTCTTAGGGAAAACGGGCAGCGAGAGAGAATAATATGCTGCACAAAATATCTTAGGAAGTATAATTTCAGCAATTAGTTTCAACGAACTGAAAGTGTTAATTATCATGATTAAATCACAGCTTCAAAACTGTTGCATAATATTATTAAGAATATTCTGTGAATTTTCCATATATATATGTATATTATTTCCTTGTATAGTTATTCTTATCTCTACCTCTATTTAAGAGAGAGAAATCCGCACAAATTAATATAATTGGAAATTATTCTTCTCTCGTTTCTTTCAACTTGGTATCAGAGCTGAATGAAGAGGAGAATAATATTCTTAAAAACACATTGCCTCCAAAGTAGGGGCAGAAGGGTGTTTATGGTGATTCTCATTCAATCCAAATCACCTCTTTTCAACTCAACGGGTCAAACTAGTTTCGATGGTCTCAAACTGTCCAGATGTACACCCAAGAAACTTGCTGGAAAACTCCATGCAAAACCAGCACATATGAATAACAGAAAACCAGGTCCTAGAGCACCCAGATCTATCCCTACAGCACATAAGGTGGAAAAAACCAAGCTGAACAATGATCAAGTTGAGGAGCTCATAAGATTGTTAAAATCTAATTCTTTACCCGGTGTTCCTTAAAACTCTATTGTATCTATAGGTGGACAGCAACTCATCCAAATTCAGCCAAATGACGGTATATGTACACTAGCAAAAATCTAACAATCAAAATAGATTACAAACTGAAAGAGGTTAGCTGGCTCCATACCTTTTCCTTTGCTCTTGGTGTGCCAAACTGGGACAATGCAACTACGGGAGGTACAACTCCTTCTTGAAGAATGAGAGTACAAAACTTAGGGCTATGAAGACTTAGTTGCAAGAGAATTGATGCAGCATTTTCCTTTCCTCTATTCGAACCCGAATCCACAAGTTCAACCAGTAAGGGGGTTGCCCTTTCGCGTACTATTTCTATTCGACCCTCTGGGATTGTCGATAAGTTTGCCAAAAGAGCAACAGCCTTGTCAACCATTCCATCAGCTGGGTCCAACAGCTTAACTAGAAACTTCACAGCTCCAGCTTGAACTATCCGAGCTTTATTCTCGTGAAATATTGATAGGTTAAATAAAGCAGTTGCAGCATCTTTCTTCCCCCTAAGAGTTCCAGAAGCTAGAAGCTCCACCAAAGCTTTAACAGCACCGGAGCGACCAATCTTCATCTTATTGTTTTCTGGTACTGAGAGGCTGAATAGAGTTGCAGCCGAATTTTCCTTGGCACCATTATTTCCATTCTTCAAAACATGGATAAGTGGTTCTATGGCTCCTGCTTCCATAATCAAGGTCTTGTTGTCTTCATTAATCGACAAATTCAGTATAGCTGTCACAGCATGCTCTTGTGTTATCTTCATGTCTGAATATAGCAGTGGAAGTAAATGCATAATGGCACCACACTTCCCAGCAATGATACGGTTTTCCATATTATGCTTTGTAAGAAGCCGTAATTCTTCGGCGGCAGAAGCTTGTGTTTCTTTTGATTGACTTTGTAGATATTCAATCAACTTACCGACATGTGTGGTGGTCAATTTATCAGATTCTGAGTTGGAAACAGAACGGACATCATCTTCTGAACTTGAATGGCTAGTAAAAACAATATCATTATTGTTATTGTACTTGTTTTCATTATCTGTCGTTTGATTTTTTGATCCAAGGCTTTGAAACTGCTCTCGTGATGCCGTTGGAAAATTCCCAAATTCTTTATATGCAGGAGAAGCAGGAAACACATTATTATTAATTTCACCAGACAGAAGCACATTTTGATGCTTATTTGATATCCCTGACACCGTTGGAACATTTTGATGCTTCTCTTGCACATTTTGATGCTTATTTGATATCTCTGACACTGTTGGAACATTATGATGCTTCTCCAGCATATTTTGATGTTTAATTGATATCCCTGGTATTGTTGCATTTTCTGAACCAGGGCTTTGAAATTGCTCTGACACTGTTGGAAAATTCTCAACTTCTTTATTTGCGTGAGAAGCAGGAAACACATTATTATTAATTTCTCCAGACAAAAGCACATTTTGATGCTTATTTGATATCCCTGACACCGTTGGAACATTTTGATGCTTCTCCTGCACATTTTGATTCTTATTTGATATCCCTGACACTCGTGGAACAATTTCATGCTTCTCCTGCACATTTTGATGTTTATTTGATATCCCCAACGTCATTGCATTTTTTGATCCAGGGCTTTGAAATTGCTCTCGTGATACTGTTGGAAAATTCCCAGGTTCCTTATTTGCAGGGGAAGCAGGAAACACATTATTATTAATTTCTCCAGAAAGAAGCACATTTTGATGCTTATTTGATATCCCTGACACCATTGAAATATTTTGATGCTTCTCCTGCACATTTTGATGCTTATTTGATATCCCTGACACTGTTGGAACATTTTGATGCTTCTGCACATTTTCCTGCTTCTCCTGCACATTTGGTTGCTTATTTGGCATCCCACGCACCGCTGGAACATTTTGATGCTTCTCCTGCACATTTTGATGTTTATCGGATATCCCTGGCGACTTTGCATTTTTTGATACAGGGCTTTGAAATTGCTCTTGTGTTGCCATTGGAAAATTCCCAAATTCTTTATATGCAGGAGAAGCAGGAAACACACTATTATTAAATTCTCCGGATAACAGCACATTTTGATGCTTATTTGATATCCCAGAGACCGTTGGAACATTTTGATGCTTCTCCTGTACATTTTGATGTTTATTTGACATCCCTGGCGTTGTTGCCTTTTTTGATCCAGGGCTTTGAAATTGCTCTTGTGATGCCGTTGGAAAATTCGCAACTTCTTCATTTGCAGGAGAAGCAGTAAACACATTATTATTAATTTCTCCAGACAACATCACATTTGGATGCTTATTTGATATCTCCGACACCGTTTTTGAAACTGAAGGTACATAATCAGTACTAGAAATAGAACTTGAAAATGACTCACTTCTGCTATGACTACACGAATGAGCATGAGATTGTTGCTCAAACATTTCAGTCTCACGTTCACCGCTTAATCTGGAGGAGTCATCACCCTTTTGCTGTTCAAATGCATTTCCAGTTTGAAGAGATGATTTAGAATTGGAATTGCTACTATGTGAAGACCCAAAACTACGGGCACGATTTAAATCTTGATGCAATAAATAATCTGTGGGGGGTGAACTTTGGATAGAATTACTCTGCTTTGAGTCATGGGGAAGTTCGACATTATTTTCTTCACACCAATTTGCTATCATAGCTTTAACCGTATAATTGGGAATTAGAATTGCATGGTTAAGTCTCTGATGAGTCTTGGGACAAACATTCAACCCGCTATCAAGCCAGGTTTGGATGGACTGTCTCTGGTATGTTTGACCTGAAGCAACAATAACTGGATCCAACATGAGTTCAAGCGATAAAGGGCATCGGAAGTATGATGGGACTGACACATCACTTTTTACTCCAGGGCATTTAGTTTTCATTGCATAATCACGTAAACTGCAAACAAGATTCGCAATTTGGTTAATTTCATCCAACTCCACTTTTGTTTTGTTAACTTCCGCATTCAACCTTTCCTTTTCCACAGCAATACTTTCTTTCAGTAGCTCCTGGTTTGACGTCAAGTTAAGTAACTCTATAATTTCCCTTTGACATTCATAGCTAGGCTTAGTATTATTCTTTTGATTTCTCAACACTTCTTCTATATAGACCGATGTTGATTCCTTTTTAAGACACTTAAGTTCCTGCATATGGTGCTAGAAAAAAATCGCTACCAATTAGTTTCACAACTTTGTTGATTGACATCACAACAAAATAACTTAACATAAATACTCCTTCCAAATACAGTTAGGTCCAACCTAAATTCTAAGATGGTATCAGAGCCTATCCATCAAAACACCCACCATTTATATCCACACACCAAGCCTAATAGTACTTGGTGTGAGATGGTGTATTGGAAAATACTCAAATCCTACACTGAACATAGAAAAGGCCAGAAATGAGTTTATAAAGAATTACACTCCTTCTTTTACAAACCAATTTTTTAGGGTTGAGTTAGGATCAACACAAATTCTAAAACAGGAAACAAATAGTTTCAAATTTCGGACATACCTGAAGATTATTCAAAACTGAGGTAGATGAAGTTAACTTATGGAATCTATCAATTATGTGACAAATCCTAAGTGAAGTGCCTTGTAACATTATCAACAGCTCTCCACTTTGAAGAACCTGAAAAATAACAATCCCAACAACAGTTTAAGACGTTGCGAAACAATGGCATTATTAGTTTGAGTATGAATGATAACTAACTGCTTACACTAAGGACCCTGCTTGTCTTCGGGCTCCAATTTTCAATAAACTCCCGAGCTTCGTTAACCTGGCGGTCCAACTCTTCACATTCTCTATACAGATTTTCATCCAGAGGGATTTTGTAATCGAAAACATCATCGAGCACCGGTTTCAAACACCTCAAAACGGAAATCATCTTAGTACAGTTCTTCTGAAGAGGGGCAGGCTTCACTGTCTGGCAAGAAACTAGATGAATGAATCTAGAAATGCTGTTGATTACACATTTTGCTGAAGTTAGATCCATTTGATTTTGACCTGTTTTAGTAAAACCATACAACAAAGCTCACATTATAAATTTTTTCATATTTTTTCCACCAACAGAATGGAAATTACACAACACAAAACCTAACCTAGAAACCTACCAAATGAATCAAAAACTGCATAAAGCACATGAGAAATTCATGAAAAAATTGAAAGAAATATGATTAAAAAATACATTTGCATACCTAAATGCATGATTCTGAAACAGATCGAGATCAATTGAGATTGATTTTTGTGTGAAATTCAAAGGAGGTGAGTAGTGAAGGGTTTTCCGTTCATTCATGGCTGTGTTTTTCCATTCTCAGCAAAGTTACCTGGAAAGGCTGAGGAATAGGGTCCCGGTTCGGGTAACCAAAGAGAATTTTTTATGATCAAATTCAGAAAAATCATAAGCTGCAAAAACAGAGGAAAAATGGGTTAAAGTTGTGGGTCCTTAATAATTTTAATATGGTTGTAGTTGCAGAAATTATTGGGTTTTTTGGGAAATAAATCTATATTTAAAAGAATATGATATCAGCATAGAAAAAAATGATGAAGTGTCATCTTTCAAATAAAATATTTTATGATTGGGTTTATTTGAATATTTTATGATGGAAATAAATAAAATTATTATTTTTAAATTTGTTTAAAAAATAAACCGAATGAAATGATTTATAATTTTTTTGTTTTTAATCCTATTTACATAAAATGATGCACACAAACTCTTCTAGAAATTACTAAAAGATGAGAAAATCTTCATGAAGTAAAACGAATGATCATCACCCTATCTTAATCATGTCGGGTCTGAGACCAAAGAATTTCCCCCTAGATCTTTTAAGTTCGAAAGTGCTTGGTTCATGGATGAGTTTTATCACGAAAAACTGCTAAGGTCTTGGAAGGGAGAATTGAACTAAGTGGAGAACTTGGAGGAAGGCAAAGATCAGCTTTAGCAGTGGAAAGGTGATTCTTTTGGGCAAGTGTTCAAAAAGAAGAAAGAGTTTCTAGCTCGTCTGAATGGAATTCAATGTTGTATCCAAAGGAACGATTACCACTCTAAAATGAGAGAACTGAAGCAAAAATTACATGTGGAACTAAACATAATTCTTAAATAAGAATAAGTAATGTGGTTTCAAAGAGTTGGAACAAAATGGATTATTGATGGAGATCATAACACCAAATACTATCACAATAAGACAAAAAATAGAAGGATGAGGAATAGAATTAACATGTTGAAGAATGATGAAGAACAATGGATTGAAGACTCAAAACAACTTCAAGAGTTGGTTAAAGATTATTATCAGAACCTTTTTGCTGTCAAGAATCATTGGAAGGAGTGGAAGCTTATTGAGTTCACCTTTCTCGAGCTGAATGATTCAAAAATTCTTGGGTTGAAAGCTCAGATTAGTGATGATGAAATTAAGAAAGTGGTTTTTGCCATGAAATTCTGCTGGTTTTTTATCAGAAATCATGGGACATAGTAGGCCAAAAAGTTTGCCAATTTGTTCATGCTCTTTGGAACAAGCTTGAAGGTATAGCAACTATCAATCAAACAGATTTATGCTTGATTCTTAAAAAAGAGATTATGCAGCATGTTACGCATTTTCGCACAATCTCTTTGTGTAACTCTATTTATAAAGTCGTTAACAAGATTATTGTGGAGAGATTGAAGCATTGTATTCCAAAGTTGGTCTCGCCGTTTCAAGCTAGTTTTGTGTCAGGGAGATCAATACACGAGAATATCATTATAGCTAGAGAAGTTATGTGTATCATTCATCACAAAAAAGGGAGGAAAGGAATGCATGTCGTTAAAATCGATCTATCAAAAGCTTACAACAAACTAAGTTGGGAGTGTATTTGGCAAGTCCTTCAAGAGGCAAATATTCATGCAAAACTGATCAATGTTGTTATGCATTCCATTACAAGCTCTGACCTGAATGTTAATTGGCATGGTAGTCGTAGAGAATTCTTTCGTCCTGTCGCGGTGAGAATAGGATGTCAAATTATTAATTAATTTGAATCTTAATTCATTGGTTCACCACCTGTCTTTTATTTGTCCAAAGGAAGGGAAAAAGATCGAATTACCCACAATGCAATGCAAATGCAAAAGCTAGAGAGTTTAGGTTCGGGGGTTGGTTAAACTTAGGGAAGGTGCTAGCATCCTAACTTTCTGTAGTACTCTACAAGAACCTCTTGTTTTATGTTTTTATTGCTAAGGGTTATATGCTTAGGGGTGAAAGACCTAGTGGTTTATTTCTAAGTATACTCGCCAAGACATCGCATCTAAAGGGAATAGGGTTTGTTGATTGATTGATTCTAGGAGAAAAGGCGAGTCGTCATCTCGAGGGAGAACACTCGACTTAACCACCACAACTTGTAGGAGATGGTCTTTGTATCGTCTTGAGAGAAGAGATCAAACACTCGGATTTCATCGACGAGTGTGTCACTATCTCTCTCAAGCAGAAAAGATCTTATATCTCACGATGATATTGTTATGGGGAAGGAGGATTACATCTCGACGGTCAAGATGACTCATGTCTGATTCTCTTGTAGGGAGCATAGTTGAATTGAGTTGAAATAGGTTTATCTAAGTTGTAAAAGAAAAAGGTCTTCCTTATGGGGTAGGATCTAAACTTAAACTGATCAACTTGAAAAGGATCAAGGATCAAGTGGGGAAAATGATGCATATGAGGTGCAATACGCACAAATTGTTAAGTCATGCGTAGGTTCTTCCTTTGGACATTATGTAATGCGATAAAATAAATAACGGTAAAATGAGATCCATACAAATAGATAAAAGTGCTAAGAAACGAGCCAAGCGCGGGGTATGAATATTCGAATTGAATTGGAGCTATACGGATAGAAATGAGGCGTCGCGTTGGTTGAGTTTTATGTGAATTGATTTTAAGAAAAAAGAGTTATATTAGTTTTAGTAAAAAGTTTTAGGTGATTAATTAAATTCTAAAGAGTAAATAAGAACTTAGTTACTCTTAATACAAATTAATTGGATTATGAAATAGGTTTTAATATTATAAAAAAACTGTTGTTATATTTAATTTAATTAAGAAAAAGGTTTGGTATTAAGTTGAATAAAATAAAAACTAATTAGGTAAAATAAAGTAAATTAGATTAAAAAGGTTGATTAATTAAAAAAAGCTAATTAAAAAAGAGTTATTAGTTTATTAATTAAAAAAGATGATTGATTAAATAAATGAATTAATTATTAGTTAACTAATTAAAAGGTTAATGATTAGTTAAGTTAATGGACAGATCAAGGGAGATTAAGAGGTTTGAGGGGTGAGTGATCCAGTATAGTGCGAGTGCAGCGGATTCACGGTGTGGTGCAGAGGTTGATCATATGATGATCAATCAGGCGATGGATGGTTACGACGCGAGGGCGCACCGTAACTTCCATGTGTGTGTACACAATACAATATATAAAACAAAAAAAGAAAACCCTAAACCTACTACTATCCTTCGCCGCCCATTCACTCTCTTCTCATCTCTCTCTCTCTGTTTCCTCTTCCTCTCTTACTCTGCCTCCCTCTTCTTCTTTCTCTTCCTCGCGAACTGTCCACGATTCCTCTCTTCGTTCCCTTCTTGTTTTCTCCTCCTTCCACTTCTTCTCTTTAATTTCTTCTTCTCCTCGATTCAACCCTCTATTCTTCCACTTTTCTTCAATCTGAAACAAACACCAAAATTATTAATAAAAAAACAGTAAATGGATTTTTGTGTAGGTGGTCGGTGGCGGTTTGTCGAATGGGTTTCGACGGTTGATGGTTGATAGCGGTAGGAAACGACGATTCTCGATGGAGGCTTGAAAAGAAATGGCGATTCGCGGTTGTTGAGGAGCGATTCACGGCGGAGCTTTAAAAAAGATAAGCTTTCTTTTATGATTTTTAGGGTTTTTATGGGTTTCCGAATTGTATTTTGGATGTTTGTGGTTTTTGCGGATCTGTGAATTTCTGGCTGTTGTTGAATGTTGTGTTTTTTTAGTCCCCCTTTGATTCCTGAATCTCTTTTATAGCCCCACCAATCTTCCTCTAATAACTCTCTATTAAAGCTCAAAGGATTTCTTTCCAAATTCGGGTGAGCATTTCGGATACGGTTTTGGCAAGTTTTTGAATTGGTTTTTTTGAGGATAGAGGCTTGACGTTTAATTATGTTAATGCTACTGCAAGCTGTGGAAACTTCTGTGTTTAGCATCGCAATGAATTCTTTCCTTCCATTTCGACACATTTGAAGATAATTTTGGAAAGAACTGAGAACTTACCACTATTTGATATTTTGTTTAATTGCTTTGGACCATTTGGAACCTCTTTGGTGAGTTTTGGGATTTTTATTCTGAACCGTATTAACATTTCTTCTTCTTCTTTCAGGAAGTTGCTTTAGCTTCAGATATTGCCTGCCTTATGCTATCGAGAAAAGGATTATCATACTTAGTGATGATGACGTAATAGTCTGAACCATGAGGACTTGAAAGTATTGTTGTTGCTTTCCATATTGTTTGGTGTTCATGATGCTTCTGAGTTATGTTGAAGGCTGTCCGAAAATTGTTGTTGGTTTATCATTTTTTGTTTGATTCCAGAAGTTGGTAGCAGATTCGCTGCCCTTCCGGTCGTTTGAGCTTGCCCGATGATGATTCTATAAACTGAGGGCTAAAAACTTATCTCATCTCGAAATTTGGTTTCTAATCTTCATTTTATTTCTTTAATGGCATTTTGCAGGTGGTAGGACTGCCGTTGACAGTTTCATCACTTGAAGAAGCCCGGAACAAATAGATCCAAGACTTAACATTAGGAGTTCTTTGAAATATGAAGCCTTAACTTGTATTTATTTTATGAAATTGACTCATAAACCATATTTGAATGCTCTTGGATTTGTGCCAATGAATTTTTACTTCATTTGTACCTTTGTCTTTGTTGTAAATTCTGGAAGACTATCAGTGTTAACATTAGTAGCGGTTCATACCGTTTTCTTTGAATGATAATCTTTTAATTTGGATAATGATGAATAATATGACTTGGTGCTTGAATAAATCTTGGATTAAAATAAGTTTTCAAGTCTTGGCCTTGAATACTTGTTTTAACATTCACAGGGCACTAATTAATGAAACAAATTGTGATATCACAACATACTCTGATGTAAACCTGTTATGCGAATCAATCTTTCTTCAACAATTATTCCAACATAAGTGTGTAATAAAATGGATAATGGAGACTTGGCTCTTTTGCAACTTTAAATGATCCGATTATTTTTGTAGAACCTTTTGGTATGAATGCACCTTTAATTTCTTATTTTCTTTGCACCTCCATATTGATCAACGAATCATTTTTGACAAATGTAGTCATGAGTTTCTTGATTCTCGATTCAAGATTGAATTTCATGTGATAAAATAAACCAAATTTCACTCCCTTTTATTTCTCTCAAAAGAAATGAAACTCTGAATGAATCAAGTCTAAATCCATCCTGATCTTGAATGAATCAAAGCGGATCTTGATCCCCTTTAATGGATCGGAGCCTTTTAAATCGAGATGAGTTCATCTGGGACCTTGTAACCTTCTCCTGAAGTTCTTGATCTTAGGAATTTAAATCATAACCATGATTGGATTCGTCTTTAAACACGAGCCTCGTTTTAGAACTTGTGATGATATTAACGACCAATCTTGAAATCATGAGCCTTAATTGTCACACAATAATCCAACTCCATGAATAAAACCAAACTTGCTTGTCATCTATTGCCTGCGTAATCAGAGATTTAGACGATGATGAAACTTGGTACATGGACCATGAGGATACAACTTATGAATTGCCACGAAAACTGTAACTGAAATGTGAACGACCATCCTCCGAATCAAAGAAAAGAAAGCCCTAAACCTCCTCAAAATACAAAGGCTTCCGACACGCCCTTAGTAAAACGATCACCAGAAATCCTTAGGATCTTTGAATCAAAAATCTGCTTAAAGTTAGTTGTACCTGCACCATATAGTTAGTCATAACAAACATACAAATGAAAGGTAAAATAAAACAAGCAAGAAATAAGTCACAAGGAGGCAGGATCTTATGGTCAAAAATTAGGGTGCTACACGTCCGTATCGTGGAATTCGGCAAGGTGATCCCATATCACCGTATATTTTTGTTTTGTGCATGGATAAGCTCTTGCATATTATTGAACATGCAGTGGCTAGTGGCAGGGGGAAATCAATTAAAATGGGAACTCGTGGTCCAACTATTTCTCATTTAATGTTCGCAGTCGATTTGTTTTTGTTCGGGGAAGCTTCTGAGTATCATATCAATTGTATGATGGATATTCTACAAACTTTCTGTAGGCTATCTGGTCAAGATATTAGCGAAGAAAAATCGAGCATCCTTTTCTCCAAAAATACTCCAAGGAGGCTCTGAATAAGCTTCTAAGTGTCAGCAAATTTAGAGAAAAGTACCATTTTGAAAGATATCTTGGGGTTCCCATTAGTGGTAGATCCTGGAGGAAAGTGAATTATCAGTACATCATTAACCAAGTTGCTAACAGACTTGCGATTTGGAAGGCAAACATGTTATCTCTAGCTGGCAGAACTACATTAGCTAAGCGTGTTATCGAGGCAATTCTGACTTACCCTATGATGACTAGCTTGCTTCCTAAGTCGTTCCTAGAGGAAATTCAAAGATTGTAGAGAAACTTCATTTGGGTAGACAATGCGAAGAAAATTCATGTTGTTAAGTAGAGAATAGTTATGCAGTCTAAAGACACAGGAGGTTCGGGTCTTCGAGAACTTACGAGAATGAATTATGCTTGTATTTTGAAGCTTGTCTGGCAGTTTATCAATGGAGTGGTTGATCTTTGGTGCAGAGTGCTTCATGGTTTGTATAATGATGACAAGTTGAACAAGTATAAGATTAGAAAGAATTATGGTTCATGCTTGTGGAAAGATTTTTTGAAAGCCATGTCGTTGTTGCTGCAGTTTAGTAAGTGGTCTATTAGAGATGGTAAGACTGTGGACATGTGGGATGATAATTGGATTAAAGTTGGCAGTTCCTTGAGAGAGCAGATGCAAGCTATTCTTGAAGAGTGGCAAGGTAGAAAGGTCAGAGATTTTGTGATAGTAACGGGGGAATGGAATTGGCAGGTTTTGCAAAATTGGTTGTCTCGTGAAAATCTTGATAAGATCAGCCATATAACCCTTCCATATGAAGATCAAGACATGGATAAGTTTAAGTTGGTTGGAGTGTCCAAATAGATTGGATCGGTAAAATAATTGTATGATTTATTGTCGAAGGGGGAGAATTCCGATTCTGATCTGGACTGGAAGCTAGTTTGGCAGCTGAAAGTTTTAGAGCGAGTCAAGGTGCTTATGTGGCTTCTTAAGCATGACCGCCTAGTAACGAATTATAGCTAAGAGTAAAAAAGGGCTAGGTTTTGCTGCGTGTAGGCTTTATGGTCATGCAAATGAAACTACGCTTTATGTGTTTAGAGACCGCCCAAAAGCTTGGGAGATTTGGGAAACTAAAGTGACATTGGGTCTAGTTTAGAGGTTCCTTGATTTTGATTTGTTTACATGGATTAATTTGAATATAAATTTTGATATCAAGAAGGTGGGAGGTTGGAGTAATTATTGGGTGATGACGTGTCATTTTATTTGATTTTGGAGGAATCAAGAGGAGCATAGTGTCAAATTTAGAAGACCGTCGAATACTAGAATGATGGTGGAAAGGAGGCTAAAAGAGTATGAGGAGGTGCTTCAAATGGACAAAAAGGTGGTTGGGAGGAATATAGAGATTGTTCGCATTAAATGGATTCCTTCTAATTTGGACATAGTGAAGCTTAATATGGATACGGCGTGTATTTATGGAGTAGTTGTAGGGTGTGGGGAAGTCATTAGAGACGACAAAGGTTGTTGGGTGGGAGGTTTTGCAAACAATTTGGAGGTTTATAGTAGCTACGTGGCAGAGTTAGAGGTGTGCTTGATGGTTTGGTGCTAGCTTTAAATTTGGGCATTAAGAAAACGTAAGTGAATATTGATGCTTCAGATGTAGTGATGAACATTAATCAGGGGGACGACGCGGAAAAATGAAGGAGTGGATATGCTTCGGAAGATTGGGATTCTTTTAAGCAGATTTGAGTTTGCTTGTGTGAGCCATGTGTTCAGAGAGGAGAATCAATATGCAGACAAACTGGCTAAAATGGGTTGATGGTTAAAGATTAATATTGAACGATATTCGGTTTCTCCTACCTTTTTGCAGAAGTTGCTTGATGATGATTTGAGGGGATGTATCTCCTTTAGAGAGATTTTCTTGTAGTTATTTTTTGTTTCTTTGGGCCTTTGGGCCTCTCTATTACCAAAAAAAAAGAATATATTACATGCATGTGTTATATTCCCTTGGATACTATTAGAAAGATGATTAAGTAGTTATTAATTAGTTGTATTAGGTTGTTATTTTGTTTTGGTTAGCTAGTTCATTCCAACTTTTTTTAATTATGTTATTTTTAAAAAAATTAGGGTTCTTCCATAATATTCTTTTCTCCAATTTAATTTTTTTCAAAATTATTCAATCAAACTCGCATGACTTTTAATCACGAAAATCAATTTGATGACGATGATTCTTCCACTACAACCCTCATTCAGAAAGACCCAACCCCCAACCCTCAAAGCCTTTTTTTTACCTCCACCCCAATAAAAATATCAGCTCAACTCTTGTATTGTTGTTGCTTGATGATCATAACTACTATAATTAGAGCAAATCAATGTGAAGGGTGTTAGCGTTCAAGAATAATCTTTCTTTCATAAATGGAACCCTTAAGAAGTTATTATCATCTGACTCAAAATTTGACCTTTGGGATCGAGAGAATAATACGGTTCTCTTTTGGATCAACAAAACACTTTCACAACACATTGCTTAGAGTATGATCTGCTTTGATTCTGACTTTGAGCTTTGGGAACACCTGCACGAGAGATTCACTAAAGGAAACCATTTCCTTTTCTCCAACCTTCTTTAAGACTTTCATTTAATCAAGCAAGGTGATAAATCTCTCTCATAGTATTTCACTGAAATGAAAATCCTCTATAACAGGCTTGGAGCTCTTCGCCCAACATATTCATGTTCTTTTCAAATTCCTTGCACTTGTGAACTTGCCAAGTGCTTTGCAAGTACAAGTTGTCGCGACGCAAAAAATAACCGAGAGCGCTCGCATGCTCGAGATGATAAAAGAGTCTCCACCAAACTTTATTTATTCAAAATGGAAAGGGTAAATATTGATAAAACCCTTTAGCAAAAAAGAAAATGGTTGTCGCAACCAAATTCGGGTTCAGAAATCGATTATGAAAGGGGAAGGTATTACCACCCCTCACATCCGTTGTACTAAACATAAACTATTTAGTTATATTTGCAAATAGAATGTTAGCTTTCGTTCATTGTTTTCTTATAGGTATTGAAAGTAGGGGTGGCAAACAGGCGTGCCCGCCCCGTTTAGGCCTACCCCGCAAAAGCCCACAAAAAATGGGGTGGGGCAGTCATAGTTGAGATTGTGGGCCTAAAACTTAGGCGCACCCCGCAAAAAATTGATGATGGGGCGGGGAAAGCTCGCGGGCACTACTCCCTTTAAGCCTAAAAATGTAAAAATTTATGTAAACGCTCATGCTTGCAAAAGCCCGCGAAGAAAATGGGACGGGGTGGGGAGGACACATTAGAGGGTGAGGGCATAAACCCTTGACCCGCCCCGCACTAAAGTGCGGGTTAAACAGGCATGCCCAACGAGTCTGATAACGCGAAAATGTATATATTAAATGCCATAATTTCATGCTATTAACGGTCGATTTCACCCCGATTTCGTACCATATTCGCATTGTTTTTTAAGTATTTTGCATGTTTACGAAGTCAATACTCAAATGAAGCAAGAAAAGGAAAACAAGTACTAAAAGACTCATAACAGAAGAAAAAGGACGAGAAAAGTAGAAGAAATGAACTTTGTTGATATGATGGTCGTCACAGGTCCCTTACGACCGTCACGTGCGTGACGACCGTCATCACCGTCACGAACGTCATGACCTCCACGAGCATCATGAACCCCTTACGACCGTTACACTTACAAATTCTGCACAACGTACTTCTCAGAACGTCCAACAGAAGCCCAAAACAAAAGCACGACTCGCTGGATTTTCTAACCCTCAATTGCACTCCCAAAAGCAGTTCACGTACAAATCATTCACTATAAAAGGAGAGCTTGGGGACTGAAATAGGGGGCCGCATTGAAGACCACGAAGTGCTACCGGATTTACTACAGAGATATTTTCTTGTTTTTGTTTCCTTTCTACTTTGTTTCCTTTCTTTGTTTTCTTTCCAGAATTCATTTGTAATTTTTGTTCTTTAATTTTTCGTATAATTAATCGTCACCAGAGTAATCCTGCCGACATTGTGGAGGATTATCCAAGTGCCGAACCAGAATTGTTTACAGGTTCCGTTATTATTAATTAATTCTATTTGCTTTAATATGTATGTTTACAAGTTTTGCTATTTTAATTTAATTATGCATGCTTTAGATTTCATGTCTAGCTAAACTGCATCGATCAGTATGTAATGAACTAGTAGAACGAGGTTCGATAATAACCGGCGTATTTTCCCTTTTTCAACTTTGTTTCTGGCTCTAGTTTTTAAATCAAACTTGTTAAACTAAAATTCGTCGCGACAGCGAGAATTTATTTAAAGTAACCTCGCCACGACAATGGGAGATTCACTGAGGTACGAACCGACATGCGAAAGCTGAGGCTAGGACCAGATAGTAAAAACTAAGCATCTATTTTAAACATAGCGAAAGCATTTTAAAAGAGATTAGAACTCAATGGTTTTCAAAAATCAATTTTAACCCCGAACGGGATAGCGAAAGCATACGTTCCACCTTAGAGTTGCGACTAGCGTCAACAACCATCGTGAGACAAAGGTCTTTAAACTGTTATTTTCTTCTGAAAACCATTTTGAAATTATTTAAACTGTGCCGGTAATTTATCGAATCCTCGAAGCACTAAGTCATTTCATACCGATTCCCGCATTAATATTCTAAGAAACCTTTTAGCATTTCTTTAGTTCAGCCTTTACTTTTGCATATTTTCCCAAAAAAAACCATATACGACCTAGCTAAACACAGTAACGTCCGAGAACACTAGATTGATTACGAGTCCCTATGGGATCGATATCTTTATTATTACGCGATAGACTTTACACTTGCAGTTAATTCGATTAGACTCAGAAAGTCGTAATCATGTTTTTGGCGCCGGTGTCGGGGACCCGTTTAGTCAATAGTGTAACCCTTTGTTACGTAGGATAGACTAGGTTAACTATTTTATTCCCCTTTACTCGTTGGTCGATTGTATGCCAAGTACTCGCTCACAAAGCGATAACTTACAACCTTCAATCGCCGAACTAGAGCGCTTCTTACACCTAAGAAGGCGCATCATTAAATATCAACGAAAACACAATATTCCCGATCTTCTAGCTCATACTCCTGAACCTGTTGAAGAATCGAAAATGGCTGAAGGACCTCAGAACAAACCTCTAAAGGACTACGCTACCTCATCTCAGCTAGAGCCTCATAGTAGCATTGCTGCCCCCGCTATCAATCGGAATGATTTCGAACTATAACCATCATTGTTGTCAGCTGTACAACAACATCAAATATCAAGAAATGCAACTGAGGATCCGAATGAACACTTAACAAAGTTTGTGCAATATGCAGACACAGTGAAGGCAAATGGAGTAACTCCAGATGCAATAAGACTTTGTCTTTCTCCTTTCTCTCTTAGAGATAGAGCTTGGGCTTGGTTACAATCCTTGCCTTCCAACTCTGTTACGACGTGGGAACAGTTGAAGAACATTTTCTTAGCAAGATACTTTCCGCCAAGCAAAATTGTTATGCTTAGAGCTCAAATCAACGGATTTCGACAGAAAGGTGTTAAATATCTCTACGAAGCATGGGAAAGATTCAAAGATATGATGAGAGCATGTCCTCACCATGGTTTAGAAGACTGGGTGACAATTCATACTTTCTACAATGGGCTTCTGTATAACACCAGACTAACAGTAGACGCCGCCACGGGCGGTGCACTTATGGATAAGCCATACGATGAAGCCTATCAACTTATCGAAAACATGTCTCAAAACCATTGCCAATGGGGAGGTGAAAGAACTCCATCAGAGAAACCCGCAATAAAAGGTGGGATGTACGAGATCAGTAGTCTTGAAAAATCCA